GATAACGTTAGAAAAGTATGCACATTTGCATAACCCTTAATATTTGTCAAAATTAGAGTATCAAAGACATGATAATGAGAACAGGACCAACTTTCACTTTAAAAAAAAGACAAAATAGGAAGTAACTTAGTCGAGTCAAATAAAATTTTCTTTTAGTTGCATGTGAAAATTTTAAATACTATCGTCAAAGATTGTATACGTACGCATGTAAAATCCAGTAGATAATAGAAAAAGCATGAATTAAAAATCTTTAAATAATACAAATAAATTAATTTAAATTTTTCTTTTTCTTTCTCAAAAGATGCTACCGACAGACAATCAACCGTTAGAAGCTTCTGAATGCGAGAATAATATTAAAAAAGTATATTTAATTAAAGAATTGTTAAAACGATAAGCGTGTGTAAAAAGGGTTTATTTCGATCTAATAGGATTTACAGACGAAAAAATTAATTTCTCAAAATTGTATTTTAAAATTAGACGATTCAGAAATAGAAAATTATATTGTAGAAACAAATGGAACATTTATATCTAGGAAATGTTTAAACGATAACAGAATGTAACGACTGTAAAATTATTTTATATAATAGTGTACAGAAAGCAAACGAATGCATGGAGTGTACGCTTAATATGTATTTAGAAAATCTTGCCGTTTAATTCTCATAAATACACAATACCAGACGAAAAGATTTCTGCAAATATTGCAACATTGTCTATTGAACAAGACAAAAATCACATTGAAATAAACATTGAAAAAATGCAAAAGAAAAAAGAAACTAAAAGAAAATTAGCGGAAATAATGTTAATACGATTAAAACAAAAATTTGATTTCAATAATAAAAAAGAAGACATTGACGATTGGAGTGATAAAATTCAGTTGATTAAGTGGAGTAGTTCTTGTCAAAGATGCTTCATGAGGTACCATGCAGATGACAGGTGCCTTAATTATAAGAAAAATAATAAACATTATAGAGATCCAGATGAAGTCAATAAAAAGTAAAATAACAAATATAAGTCAATTTTCAGAAAATTAATCAAAAAAATTTTATTTACCTGAAATGTCTAACTAATTTTTAATTATGTATAATAATGAAATTCACTAATTGTAATTTCATAAAAAACCAATCTAACGTATTGCAAAATACCATTATTTTGAATAACAATTTGAGATGTTATTTTGTTAGGGCAATGAATATTAATGTTAATAGGGTAAAAATTTGAATAAAGCCATGCTTGAGAATTTTCAAGAATAGTCCAATCAATATTTTTGTCTAATTGTAAATATAATATGCAAGTGTGTGTTTGTTTAGTAAAAAATAAAGCAATCTCACAGATGAAATTTTTTATTGTTAGTTTAATATCAGGCGTGTTAAGGCAAAGTTTTCCATTGATTGTGTTGTGACGCAAAGAAAAGTTACTTATATGAAAATATGTTTGATTGTTTATACTGATAGCAAGATATTGTGTTTTATATGTTATGTATGTAGATATACTAGAGTTTGTATTAAATTTATAAAATGAAGGAATTGAATGTAGTTTGTATACATTATATTGCTGTTTTGAAATAATAGGTTATATATATAATAATTATATATTCGTATATATATTTTCTTAATTCGTTTATCCATGATTTTACGAATGATTCTTAATTCTTTTTAAATTGACTTAGAAAATCATAAAACAAACTTGTATAATTTTTTAATGTTCCATTAATATGAGTAATTTTAATAATATGATTAGAGAATTCTATCGGAAACTTTTGAATTCGAGAACATCTAGGCGAACATGCACCTGTTTATGCACATGTTCGTGTGTGTATTAAAAAACCGTTGTTTTTAGGTTTAGAATTTAAGAAAATTATAAGAAAATTTTTAGTTATAATCAAAAGAAGTTTCTTACTTAATTAAATGCAGAATTTTGTTAGTATGAATTAAATAAAAAAAATTTTAGATCTGGGACGATAAATCCTCTTATATGAAGTGTGAGTACCTTGAAGCAGAGTCTACAATGAGAGAAGGTGCTCATCGGTGTTCATAGCTATAGGTATACTAAAGCATGCTGTGGTATATCTATAGCTATGAACATCGATGCGCACCTTCTCTCATTGTAGACTCTGCTTTGAGGAGGACGAACAAATAATTAGGCCCTCCGTGCAAGCAGACGTTTCCTTCAATGAGAAACAAGTGAGTGCTTCCGTAGAAACAGCAATAGAAAACATTCCTGCCACTCCTGCTGTTCCACATAGAAAAAGAATTGGACTAAAGCGAACGTCTAAAACGATTACAAGATGACAACATTATACGCACAAATCCAATATTTGAACCCGGTGATTTAGTATTATTGCGTAACAATAGTAAATCAAACAAGTTAAAGAGAGAATGGTTAGGTTTTTATACTGTAATCCAAAAATGAAATGAAGTTAATTATCAAATTCGTCTGAATATTTCAAATTACACAGTTCACAGGAATGAAAGTTTTTTACAAATAACCCAGTAAACGAAAACAAATTGAAATGAATTAAAAAGAATTCACAAAGAGCTTTCGTGAATCCCGCTTTGTGACAAATACGAATTGGAGCCATGATGCAATTTTCCCGAATTCGTGAAACTGTATTGAACTTCCGAACCTTCTATCCGTACCAATTCACTGGACAAGTTTTGAGCCTTTAATTTTTTTCAATTCCTTAGCACGAATTCAATGCATTCCTTGGCCATTTCTTTCGAATGCGAATTCGTTTGGACAAATTGGTACATATTGAATTAAATTCAATTGAATATACAAAGAGCTTAAGTGAATCCCGCTTTGTGACAAATACGAATTGGAGCCTACCAAAAATGTTAATTCGTTTCAATTCATTTGAATTAGTTTTTTTTTACTGGGAACATATTTATATTTCCTTATAAGAATTTCAGAATGAGGACTACACTATTTTTTATATTCGGAAGTTTGATTTACTCCATCAGTATAATGCTAACATTACATTATGAAACAAGTTAAGGAATTGTTAGATGCAGGTATAATTAAACCTTCCAATTCTCAATATAGTACGCCATTCTGAATAGTACAGAAAAAACCTGATTCTGAAGGAAATATCAAGTGGAGAGTAGTTTTAGATTTTCGAGCACTAGTATCATTTAACTTTTCTTCATTAGTAATCACAACATCTTGTTTTTCTAAAATACTATCAATTCCTTCTAAACAATGACTACCCGTTTCTGTATTCATTTCAACAACTTTTTCAACGCTTTCTGCACTGCATGAATCTATATTCCAATTTTTAGACTCTAAAGCAGTATTAAAAAACTCAATTGGATCAGAAAACGAATCCTTATTTTCTACAATATTTTCAAAACTACTCGAGGACATTTCGAACTTTTCTGTCTAAACCTCAAAAAGAAACTGAAGAAGTAAATAAATTTACATTGTCTTAGGTACACCCTCTACCTTTTCATTTTTGTCAAAAGAAACACCCCACCACAGACAGACAACAATGGAACATTTATAACTAGGAAATGTTGAAACGATAACAGAATGCAGCGACTGTAAAATTATTTTATATAATAGTGTACAGAAAGCAAACGAATGCATGGAGTGTACGCTTAATATTTTAGAAACAGAAAGAGAAAAAGTTGAATGATCCAATTGAAAACTCTTATGGTCTTTTAGAAATAAAATGCCCAAAAATTCTGGAAAATCTAAAACCAATTGAACTTTACAATTTGAACAAACAACAAATTTCCAGTTTTTGTTTTAAATTGGAGGGAAACGATTTAGAATTTTAAAAAAACCATCAATATCATACTCAAATTCAAATTCAAATAGCTATATAACAGAACGATATTGGTGTGATTTTATGATTTCGATACCACAAGATTTTCATATTCAAAGGCTCAGAATTATTTAATTATGATTTTGTAACTTCACTTATTTCTAAAGCAATGAGTTTTCACGGAAATATTATAGTGTCAGAATATTTCTAAATGAGAGTTCCAAGAAAGTTGATTCCCTTCAATTTTGACTTCGATGAATTTCGATTATAATTGATGTTTTTCTACTTAACAATTTTTATGCAATATCATCCGATTTAAAACATAGATAATGACTTTATAGTATATTCTTCAAAATATTTTTCATAATAATAATAATAATAATAACAATAATGTGTTTAAATATAAATAGTTTAATCGTAGGTAAAACCTTGTGTTGTTTAAATGTATTTATGGGCAGTTCAGGAATAATGCCTTATAACTGAATTCCTTTCAAGATTTATTTATGTAAATAATTCAATTCTTGGGAAGAATTTAATTAAAATCTGAAAGAATAATTGAATTATTTCAAAAAAATTTAATTAAAATTGTATTTAAAATAATTAATTCGTTACGATCAATTTTATTAAATTATTTGAAAATAATTAAACTCCTATGAAAAATTTTAATATTTTTGTAAAATAATTGAATTTTATAATATATGAAAATAATTGAATTATTGCGAAAAATTTTATTAAAATATTTAAAAAGAATTGAATTTCTGTGAAAAATGTTGCTATTTTTGAAAATAATTGAATTCTTCATAAGAATTTTATAAACAATGTTTTAAATATCTAATTAATTTTTTCGAAATATAATAAATATTATGAAAATTTTATTTTTAAATAATTGAATTCTTTTGCGAAATTTTATAAAAATACAAAATAATTGAATTTCGAATATTTTTTGAAAATAATTTAATTTAATAATAATAATAATAATTATAATAATAATTTAATAATTTAATTTAATTTTAAGGAATTTTATTATAATTTTTGAGAATAGTTTTTTGATTTCAAGTATTAGCGAACTTAAAAAAGTGGGAATTCTCAAAAAAACAGAAATAATAGCTTTTAGTGGTTGAAATCTAAAAGAAAGTACCCAAATAGTAGCATAACTTAAAAAAAGTAGTGAATAGTAGGTTTACTATTCAAATGTTTTCGGAGTCACTGATTACCTGGAAAACGAAAGAATTAATTAAAGTACTGCAATAATATTTATTTACTTTTTACGTATTTCATAGTACAAAGTAGTTTAGCCTAATATGTATTCAAATATAAAAACAGAACACTAAAGCCAAATGGCACTCTTAATCAAACGCCTTAATATAAACACAAAGTAAAAACTTTTAACCAAGTTTAGAGCGAAAAATTAATCTACAATTTATAATAACACTAGAAAAGTTATACTCTTCTAAACTAAATTTATCACATTCGTTAAGAATTCCATTTTCTCACAACAAATATCAAAAAGTTACTAATCTATTAAATGCCTTTCTTCTTCACATAAAAAAATACAAAAATAAGTATTTTGAATTCATTCGTTTTATCAGGGACAAAAAATGATTCCTCTAATGACAATAAGACGCGTTTATCAGATTCCGTAAATTCAAATTATCAAGATAGAAAAATATTTTCTCGATTACTAAATAGGGAATTTCTATTTTTAACACATTCTCCATACAAAGACTCGCTGATTTTATTAACTCCCTCCTTTGCTTTGCTTTATTTATTTTAACATTCAGCATACTCGAATAAATCGGAAATGACGATTGAAAATCATTTAGTCGCCGTAAAATTTTTTCATTACGCATATAAATTTCCACAGTAGTCGCAGTTTTTCTTACTAAATCCAACAAAGTGATATTATTTTCCAATTGACAGAGTTGCATTCTTTTAATTTCCTCCTTACACATGAATGAAAAACCCTTTAACGGTTCAGAATTCTTTCGACATTCGTACAATTCGTTGTGCATTAAGGAATGTTTGGTTAATTTGTTGCGAACTTCATCTTTAAGAGATAAATCGTCCCTATTCGATAAGGCATTGTGAAGTAATAAAATACTTATAATTTCACTTCTTTCGGAACAAATTGCTATGTCGAGAGGAGTTTGGTTATTGAGATCTTTAACATTCACCGAAGCGTCATAATCGAGGAGTAATTTAACTACATTTAAATTACCAATTTTTGCCGCAATGTGAAGAGGAGTTGTTTCTAAATTTGTTTTTGAATTGATATCGACGCCGGATTTTAAAATTAGTTTGACGACTTTTACATTATTTCGATAAATCGATAAATAGAGTGGAGTTTGGCCTTTGTTATTACGAGCCTCGACACTGTTGTGCTTCAATAGAAATTCGATAATAGCAATGCAGTCAGTGAGAACGCTGATGTGCAATAATGTATTACCATGAGTGTCCCTCGTATGTAAATCGGCGCCTAATTTTAAAAGTTGATGCATTATCCGACATTGACCATTATTGACGGCAATTTCTAATAGTGTCGAATTTTTTTCCAAGAGAACATTAACATTTGCCTCGGTACTCAATAAATCCTGCACTATCTCAACGTAACCTTTTTCCACCGCTGAGAACAGAATTTGATATTTGAAAAATGCTGTAACTGATGGTTCACACTGGAAGAGTTGAGTGAATATTGTTTTGTATTCTTTTTTTCCATATTCTTTTTTATACGATGAATATAAAATTTCCGGTATGTGGATACTTTCGAATGTTTCTTCTTTGATGCTAAATCGATTGAATAGAAATAATTCGGTTATTAAACGATGTTCTGCTGTTGCGCCAAGTATTGAGAGGTAAAAAGCAATTTTGTTACTTTTATCCTCAAGGTTCGGTTTTTTGCCCAAAAGGACTTCGACTACGTTTCTATTGCTAAATTCAACGGCGTGACAAATTGCAGTCATGTTATTATTATCCAGTGTATTAATATTGGCGCCTTTTCGTAATAAATGTTTTAGAATTTTTTCATTATTCTTCCTCGCAGCCTCATGAAGACATGTGAAACCAAATTTATTTTGAACATGAACATCAATTTTATGCTTTAGCAACAATTTCACAATTTTTTCACTTCTTATTTGACAAGCCAGGTGAAGTGCCGTTGAACCATCATTCGTTGTCACATTCACATCAGCACCATTATCCAGTAAATATTCCGTAAATTCTTCATCATTATTCTTCACACTCATGTGAAGAATAGTAAAATTTTCATATATTTTCGAATTAATAAAAAATCCTTTCGTCAACAAACACTTGCAAATATTCAAATTATTCTTATCGTAAGCATAGTACATTGTCATCTTTCCACATTTATCCTTCGCGTTTATATCAAAATTATAATTTAGAAGTACTTCGACAATTTCTATTTTACCGCCAACAATCGCCAACTTTAGTAATTCATTAAGATTCTCACTCTCCGTATTTTTGGAAAAAAGATCAAACATCAGTGTTTTAGCTTTTTGATTTTCCAAGAGAAGAATTAATATCTTATGATTGCACATTGACACGAGAAAAATGAGAAGTGAATAATAGGCGGTGGAATTTATTTTATCGATTACTCCATTTTCTATAAGTAATTTTGCAATTTCGATACGATCATTTTCTATGGCAATATGTAGCATTGTTTTTTCGTCATAATTAGAATGTATGTCAGCTTTATAATTTAATAAATTCTCGACAATTTTGATGTTTCCATTTTTTATTGCCAAATGAAGTGGTGTACAATCGTAACGATCTGTTAATTCAATATCAGCGCCATTGTCCAACAAAAGTTGAACAATTTCTTCATTTTTTTGATTAATTGCAATATGTAGAGGAGTTTGTTTCTTCTTATTTAAATTATTAACTTTTACATTTTTCTTCAATAAGATTTCAACGATTTCGAAATTATTTTTCGTTACTGCGAGATGAAGTAGGGATTTTGCTGGTGTTTCTTCGGGAAAATTTATTTTTGCCTCATTATCGATAAGTAATTTTACAACTTGGGTATTATTGTTATTCAATGCTTCATAAGTTGGTAAATAGCCGTACGACAATTTTTGATAATCAGACAATTTATAGTGAGAGAGAAAATGTTTCACTGCTTCTACATCCCCCAAGCGGCAGAATTTCATTAAGGATTCACAAATATCCAGCGGCATTATTTCAATCTTGTATTTTTCCAATAATTTCTAAATCAGTTGGTCAACTCGGAAATACCTGTGAAGACAAATTTTTTTATTAGATTCAATTTGAATATAAATATATCTTTTTATAATTATATTATTCTAAATAATAAGCCTTGGATCGAATTATTAGTATTATTATTATTCATTATTTTTTTAATATTATTTTTATATTTATTTTTTTATATTTTTATTAATAATTCATATTATAATTATATTAAAAAATAATATTAATATTAATAATAATAATAATAATAATAATAATAATAATAATTTTTTGCATTTTTTCCTATAATTTATATGAAAAAATGCAAAAAACGTTTTACTCGATTAAAAAACACAAAAAAAACGAAAAAGGCGTTTATTTAATTCAGAGTTATAACAAAAATTTTATTTTATATTTCTCTGAACTTTCACTGATTTCTAAAATCAATTCTTTAAAACTTGAATAAAGTTGTCAAATAAATTCGTAAATACTTAATTGTTTTTCCACGGGGCATAAAATTAAAATAATTTCAATTTAAAACCTTCTAAAATTTAATAATTTTTGAAAATTGTAACTATAACTCTTCTGAAATTAAATTATTTTCAACAAATTTTTAATTAAACCTTCATCTTTAAATAAAAAAAAATAATTTATCGAACGTTTATCGAGAATTCAATTATTTAAATACAAAAATTTCCATTTTTTACAGTAACTGTAACTGTTCATGTTTTTTTTTATTTTTTAAAGTATAAGATTTTTCAAAAGTTTATAATCAAAAAATTCTTAAAAAAATTAAATTATTTTTTTAAAAATTAACTTTTTTAAAAGTACTTTAAAATAATTTTTGAAAGATTATAATTTCTTAATTATATACAATTGAAAAAATTCCAAACAATTGAAATTTGTTGAAATCTTTCAAAATTGAATATTTGAAAAATATTTTTAAAAAATACTGAAGTTTTTAAAGAATTTAAATTATAAATATAAACATGATTTCTATGGAATTTTAATAAATCTAAAAAGTAAATTATTTAACAATTTTAATTTATATTGATCGAAGATAATTGAACTTTAAAAAATTACAATAAAACAATTCTAAGAATTAGTTTTTTAAAAATATTGTAATGTAATTTTTCGAAAATGAAATAAATTACTTGAAAAAATTCAAATATTTTCAATAAAATTTTACAAAATCTTTTTAATATGGTATGTTTTGAAAATTTAATTAAAAAAATTATTCAAAAATAATATTCTTGAAAGATTTGTTCACGAAATAAAATAAACACTCAAATTATTTTTGGGTATATACCTAAGAAGCAAATTATTTTAAGGTTATGTTTGTGTTATTTTTACGTTTTAAATAAAAATCTTTGTGTTTAATTTAAAACAAATGTCAGTTTTCATTAATTATTTTGGATGTAATGAAGGCGTAAACTTCAAAGTTTGCAAAAAGTAGAAATTTTCTTTTTAAAATAACGCTCCGTTAAAATAAATACAAATTTTTCTAACTCAAAAAAAAAACAAATTTTGTTTTAAAAAAGGAGAGAATATTCATCATTTCAGGAGATTTTATTAATTTCAAGAATTAAAAAAAGGGAAAAAGAGGAAAAAAAAGTGGACTGTAAATTTCTCTTTTTCATTACTCCAAAAAAAATATCTAAACTATTTTTTCTTTGAGAAACTAAACTGAAATTTTTTTAAAATTCATTTATATGAACGAGATAATTACGGAAAAAAGCTTTTCTCTAATAAAAGTAAATTTGTTACAAAAGAAGTACAATTATTTCATGAAATATTCGTTAAAACAAGATGAGAATTTTTAAAATTTGTTATTACTTACAGTAAATAATTCGTTGCACGTTTTGAACATATGATTTCACGTTTCTTTTTGTGATTATAAATATGAAAGTTATTACACAAATATTTTTAGTGAAACTATTAGTTTATCAAAACACTTTATTCTATAATTTCTATCATTTTATAGTTTTAGCAATATTTTAACGTGATTTTAACTCTGCAGACCAAGAAGACTATCGGTGCTATCGGTGACTTTTCTTGTCGTCTGCTAATACTACTACAGAGTTGTTCATATGGTTCATAGTCTATGCCTGTGACGTCACGCCTAGTGTCGTCTTTGGTGATGCAGTGAACTTTATGAAAATACAAAAGTCACTACGACTTATTTACATGGGGAATTTCATTTTAAGTAATTTCGTAGACTGAAATCACTAGTATTTGAATTAATAAATTAAATAACAAATTAGATAAATAAATTAGATTAATATTAATAATCATTAATGTAATGATGCATTTCTCTCTCTATTTTATTAAAATATTATGTATAATTATAAATAAATAAACTACACGTGTCTAAATTTGTACACGTGTCAAAAGCGGTTAAAAGTCAAGGTTATACACGCGTGTGAACCTTAACGTCAACGAACCTTACGCGACGATCATGCGCAATACTACTCAGAACAAGGGTAGTTTTCTAGGAAGTGATACTAAAAATAGTATCATTCACTGTAAAAAAATCTGCTGTAAATTTACTATGTCCGACGTTGGAAAGTTTGGTCACTATGTCCGACGTGGTATTTTTACACGCCGACTGTAATCTACATAACCTGCAAATATTTTTTGAAATAATATTTTCAGTCGTAACTTTTTGTATTTATGAAATATAGCCCAAAACTTTTTGTTATATTATTATTTACTTATAAATTAGCATATACTTTCTATAAATGTACATTATATACACTTTTTTAGAGTTATTTATAAAAACTTGAAAATTTTTTGAAAATCTTAAAGGAATAAGAAAATTACATTCGCCATGTAATTGTACAGATCGTGCGACGTAATATTACGTCAAAGTGTAGAAATACACGCAATGTAAAAATACCACGTCGGACATAGTGATCAAATTTTCCTACGTCGGACGTAGTAAATTTACACAAAACTATTAAATTACATAGTCGTATAATGTAAAATTATTAAAAATAGTAAAACTACTTTTGGAACGAAATAAATTTACTACGTACAACCTATAATTTTGATGTGTGAAATTACAAGTTTCGTGTTATTTTACACCAGATTTTTTTACAGTGTTTATTACCCTTGGCGCCACGAAGTCGCGCCCTAAAAACCATAAAACGAAATACGAAACCAAAAATGTCAATCATCGATTGCGCAACCTTTTCGCAGAATTACTAGATTTTAGTCTACGCCTATTTTATGTTAATTGGTTAAACGAACATAAAATAATATGACGTCAGCAATTTGATTGGTCAAATTGCCTGTGAATGTCTGTATCAATCCAAATTTCCCAGGCTCTTCGCAAATCCCAGAGTGATAGAAATCCACGTGACCGGACCATCCATACTATTGTTGCCCAAGAAATGTTTAGAGTGCGGTAAAATTCCCTTTACCATAAGGCCAGCGGGTCATTGTATGGCGTGCCTTTTTACACTCTAGAAAAAGAACTGGGAACCATTTGACATTTATAAAAATGTTTTTCACGTAAAATTAAATGAAGGTTTTCCTTTTGATCATTTCGAATTAATATCATCCAAAATACCTACCCCCTTTGAGCAACCTCCATTATCCGATTTCTTCTGGATTTCAATTCACTATAAGATATAAACGGTGAAATTGATTTTCAACCCGTTACAATGCCTGGAGAGGAAACAATTCCTATCGTTGAGATGAACGATGTTCAATTATGTAGGAAATGACGAAAACCACGTCTTTCCTTTGGACGAAGTCCAATTAGATGCGTTATTTTTTGCCAGGAATCCATTGCCATATAGTTTGATCTTGGTCCGCATTTCCACGAAAATTTGAATGTTCTCGGAAATATTCAAGCAGATTTCCAAAATTTAAATATGAACAACCCTAGGGTTGCAGAAATTAACCCTGTTCCGGATAATTTTGACATAGGATTAGGACCTGAAAATTAGAATCTTTAAAATTTTCTTGTTTTTTAGATACATATATGTATGTGTATGTATGTGCATACATGAGTAGAATACATACATGATACATACATGATTATGTGTTTATATTAATTTTACATTTTAAACCCAAAGATTATCATTAATACATTTTTCATTTTGTTTTTTTATTAAAGAAATTAATTAAAATAAGATGTGTGAGTCATATATATATAATATGTATATTATACCCAGTAAAAAAGGATTTTTTAACATAGCATTTTGGACGATTGAGCAAGCCGTCTGCTCAATTGTCCAAACGGCATTTGAACAATTGGACTGGTTGCTCAAGCAATTATCCAATGCATTAGGTCCAATCATCCCAAATGTTTTTCGTGGCTAAAAAACTGCTGAATTAAGAAAAAAAGTACTGAAATGTTACAGAAACTTTAGAGAATTCTTAATTCCAGACAAATACAGAAAAATTACGTATAAAAATACCTCGAGTGAGGAAAAAGAACAAGATTTCTAAAATATCACTTTTTAACTGAAAGTGCAATGCTGTACTTGGAATTTATTTGGTAAAGAAGTGAGGATTCTGATAAAGAGAAACACTTCATTATCCACTCTCAATACTTCTCATGTGGTAATATATAATTGTAGATTTCGGTTTCTCATTTTAAAAAAGAGATAATTCTCATCAAAATAAATTATTATTGTTAATACACTATTATTGAAAATCTACAATTATATATTTTATTTATTTTTAGCTTATTTTTTATATATAGTATATAAAGATATAGTATACATATATATAAAAAAATTGTCCTCAGACGTTTTAACAAAATACCACAACACATGATTTTAAATTATGATATTAAATATCAGTGTGATTTATTTAAAGAACCTTAGATAATTAAATAAACATTTTAATATAATTTAATAATTTAACTTCAGTTATTTTAAAGGCCGCTAAGTACACTCGTGCTCATTAATGCCTTCTCTCAGGGAAGGAACTAATTTGACGCGTTTTGCCCACTTTCTATATTTTTTATAGTTCGTGCCAATAATTCCATAGGAATTTTACTTTTCCATTGGCTGATTTTTTATACAATATAGATGGTAGGCAAAGTTCGTGAAATTTAATGCCTTCCCTCAGGGAAGGCATTAATGAGCACGAGTGTACAATAGGTTCGCGAAAGTCGTTCGCGAACGCAAAGCATGAGTTAGAAAAGGACAGAGATATATTTGTGTCCTTGTCTATCTCATGCGTCTCTTTCGCGAACGACTTTCACGAACCTATTGTGCGTTGGACTTAATTAATATTCATATAAATAACTTTAAATAAACAGTTTGATTTATAACTTAAATATTCTTCATTTAGTTCAGTGATAATTTTAAGTTTTGATAAAATAATTTAATTCACATTTGAACTCTTTTCAATTTCCAATGTCTACTATTGAAGAACCAATAGCAATTCGGCAACTGTGAATTCGGCATAATAATCGTTAAGCTCTTTTCATTTTGGAACAAGTGATGGGTCATTCTCCCCCCACCAAATTTTTCCAATTAAGTTCATATTAAATTCCCATCCCTGGCTATACACACACTGTTTTTACAGAAAAATATCCGACATTTCCAAAGATAAAGTCAAAGTCGTTTATTATATATTCTTTTTATTAATGTGAAACATTCAAGATAACTTCATTTTCTTCTTTCAAAAAGTGAAAAAGGAGATATTTGATCTTTTGATCCTGCTGATTATATTCAAAGGTTTATTCAATTTTCTTTTTAATTTAAAATCCAGAATAAAAATTTTTTTCTCATGTGTCTATGTCCCAATGTTTTGTTTTGAAATTTTTCATCGCAATGTCACTCTTATTAGAAAAGAAAACAACACTCAAATAGATAGGTAAAATTAACGTAAAGAACTCGATTGGAAAACAAAGTTTTATATTTTAATCGAATGAAATTAAAAATGTATTCCTAAAAATTTATGTTTTATTTTTTGACAATACGCATTTAGTTTCCTTCTGCTATATTGAGACTGAAAAATTTCAATACATCGCTGTTATAATTTGTTTTTTTTTATTTATGTTTTATTTTTTTAATTTTCAGCAGGCTAATAAATTTTTTAATTAATTTTCACCAATAAACTTTTATACATATTCCAAATTCTCTTATATTGTAATTTACTATTTACCTAATTTTTTTTTATTCTCAGGCATTGGAAATATTAACAAAAAATTTAAAGGACAGTCGGGGAAAAAAATAAATCTAACACTTTTTTGTCATTATAAAATAATTTTTAATTGAAAAGTTTAAATAATAATTTGTGTAATTTGATTTACAGTTTTGAATTAAATATTAAAAACTGTACAGTCGGTATAAAAATTTTAAAAAATTCCAGAAACGATTAACAAATTTTAGGTTACGATAAACGAAAAATCGTTTCCAAATGTTTAAAATTGATGAAAAATTGAAATTTTTCCTACAATTGTAAATTTTAATGGTTTACAATTTCTAATTTTTTATAAATACTTATGCAATAAAATATTTTATAGTAAAAAAAAGTAAAATAAAAAAATATTCAAGTTTATTTTTTAGAATTTTATATTTTTAGGCTTCTATTTTCTAAATATATTATTTTTAAATAATTTAATTTATTAAATTAATAATTTATTATGAAATTAAATAATTTAATTTATAATAATTATATTATTATTATTTTTTTCATTAAATAATAATAATAATAATATATTTAAAAAATAGAAGCCTAATAAAATAAAATTCAAAAATAAACGAATTTAAATAATTGAACTTTAATTATTAAAAATTTAAGAGAAATGTTTATAAAAAATGTATTTCAACTGCATTTCTCTAATGGCGTCATCTTCGCGTTCACCATTATAAAAAATACATACGACCTTCAGTCGACGTTAACACTGCAACGCTGCACATTGCGTGGGAGTTCCCCGCCATATATCTTTGATTTTTTTACTTTTCTCTTAAATACAAAGTTTTTTTTAATATTCAACTTTGAAATTTTAAAAATATAATTATTCAAAATATCATTTTATTACTCTAACTTCTCTAAAATAATTTACATCATTTTATTTCAATTGTTTTCTAGAATTTTTAACTAAAATTTCTTCTCTAGCTTAATATTTGAATAAATAAATTTTTAATAATTTTTAAGAAAGTTCCTTAAGAATTCTATTATTTAATCAATAAAAAAAAAGTTGACCTAAATTATTTTTGAAATCTACTTATTTGCAATTCAATTTCATAAAATATTGATAATTTGAAAATTATTTTTTAATTAAATCAGTTTTCCAAAAATTCAACTAATTTCCAAAAAATGTTAATAAAAATTGTTGGCAAAATTAATTTCTTTAGAATTTTGAATTAAAATTTAGTAAAATTCAAATATTCTAGAACTTAAGTTTTAAACCTATATTAAATTTTTATATTACTTTTTGGAATTTTTGTACCTTTCTTATAATTTTGAATCTAAAATAATTTAATTCTTGCATAGAATTTTATTTAAATTTTTGAAAAAAATTGAAATGTTTTGAAGAATTTTAGAAAATTTAAAAAAAATTATTAAATTTCGAAGGATTTATTTATAATTGTAATGACAAAAAATATCGGATTCTTATAAAGAATGTTATAAAAAATTTTTAAAATAATTAAAAATTCTTCTGAAGAATTTTATTATTTATGAAAATAATTAAAAATTCCTCTGAAGAATTTTATTAATTATGAAAATAATTAAAAATTCCTTTGAAAAATTTAATTATTTACGAAAATAATTGAAAATTCCTCTGAAAAATTTAATTATTTTATGAAAATAATTGAAAATTCTTCTGAAGAATTTTATTAATTTATGAAAATAATTAACTTCTTGAAAATTTTTTTCGACAAATCTATTAAAATTTTTATTAAAAATAATTCAATTCCTATATAGAATTTTATTAAAAATAATTTAATTCTATCCAGAAATTTTATTAAAATTTTTGCTTAAAATAATTAAATTTCTTGTGAAGAATTTTTATACTTATAAAAATAATCGAATTCGTGTAAAGATTTTTATTAAAAATTTTGAAGTAAATTGAATTGTTTTGAAAAATTTTATGAAAATTTCAACAAAAAAATGAAATTATTTCGATGTATTTAAGTATAATTGTATTGACAATTCTTATCAAAAATTGTGTAACATTTTTTGAAAATTCCTCTGAAGAATTCAATTATTATTTATGAAAATAATTAAATTCCTGAGAACAATTTTAATAAAATTATATTTAAAATAATATCAATTTGAATTTATCACTCGGTGTTATTTAATAATAATGATGACTTTATCGATCACTTAAGTGTCTATTAGCAATCGTGTCAAGCGAGACGTTTTAACAATCGACAAATTGTTTAATAATGTCCAAATTTTTATTTATATTTTTTTTCAATGTTTCTGAAGAGGACGGCTGTGCCGTTGAAACGTAAAGAAAAAAAAAACAAAAAATTTTTTTTTCTCTTAATTTTTTTTCATTATTTTAAATGACTCGGAGTGATCGATAAAGTCATCATTATTATTATATTTAAAATAATTGAATTCATCTTAAGAATTTCATAATTTATAAAAATAATTAAATTTTTGTGTAGAATTTATTAAATTTTAAGAAAAAAATGTAATTCTTTAGAGAAATTTTCTTAAAATTTTATTTAAAATAATTTTATTTCTTGCGAAGATTTTTTCTATTTATGGAAATAATTGAATTCGTGTAGAGATTTTTATTAAAATTTAAAAAGAAATTGAATCGTTTTGAAGAATTTTACTAAAATTTTTGAAAATAATATATAATAATAAATAAGTAAATTAGATAATGAATTTTTTTAAATTTTGAATCTGAAATTATTTAAAAATTGAAGTTGATGTTTGAAAATAATAAATGTTTTTATTTACATTGGAATAATAAATTAAATGATACATTTCGTGCGCTTAATATTTGCAAATTATTTAGACAAATTTTTTAAGGTTCAATTTATTTTTAATTTTTGATTAAAATTATTCACTAAATAAGTTTATGTTTGTTCTGTAAGAATTAAATTATTAAAAATAAATTAAATATCAATTTTGTAAAGTTTAATTATTGTTATAAATAGAAAGAATTGAAAAGAGAATTGAATATTTTTTTTAAAAAAAGACAAACGTGTATTGATAAGAATAATCTAAAATATTTTTTCTTCGAAAAGTCTATTTTCGAATTTTTGTGTTATAAACTGTAAATAATTGTTTATTAAATTTTGTTTTCAGACTTCATTTAAAAAATGAAATACCATTGTGTATGCGTCAGGCCCAGAGGAGGCGTTTTCTGCCGAAATTGTGGCCATCTTCAAGAAGGACGTCTCAAGTTGCACTGTCCATCACATCCTCATGTTAGTATATATTTATAAAATATCCGTATAGTTTAATTTTAAGCCGTATAAAACATTTCCTACGTCATGATTGTTCAGAAAATTAATATTTTAAAAATATTTTATTTACAAAAATTGAATATAATATAAAAATTTACAAAAGGAACCTACAGGAAATACATTAATTTCTTCGTACTGAAAACAAAATTTAAAATTTATAAGAAAATCGACTTGGACCCAAAATTAATGGCTTTCCTACGGGGTCTTTTTAATTCAATATAGAAAGATGTATATTTCATAAAATATAAAATTTATCTAATATTGTTAATTACGAAATGGTTCATTATTTATAAGCAACATTCTTTTTTTCTGTTACAGACAATCTTTTTGTATGACGTCACGAGATGCTCAAAATGTTTGAGCCCTGATTTTATGTTGCGAGAAATTCAAGATTTACATTAAAAATCTGAAGAAAAAAAACTGTGGAAAAAACACATAAAAAGAGTTTATTTTTTGTTTATTATTATTTAAATAATATTTAAGATCTTAAAGAATATAATAAAGTTGGATTTATTTGCTAAGTAACATTTTTCGTTATCAATTCAACTATTCATGTGTGTTCATACGATTAATATAATTTTTATGTATTTAGGTACTTAAGTTATATCGTTTAAATTTTCAATTATATTACTAACTGTTGCAAAAAAAAAACTTTCGCTATTGCGGCGAATATTTAATTTTATATTATTGTTCACTGATAATAAATTATTCTGTTTCATCATTCTTCTTGGAAGAGACCAAAATTTGATGTTAATCAGAATGTGCTGAAAACAAAGATTTGTTTTTTTATATATTGCCTAGAAAATAGAACAAAAGGATATAAGTATTAATATTAAAATTCTCCTTACAATGTTGAAAAAATTTCCAAGATTGCCTCTTCTTTAAATCAAACTTGTATTCCTCTATATGCAGGTAGATGTTTCAATCCCTACGAATCTGCAATCTTGTATCCCTTTTCGGAAGAAACAAAGTTCCTGGATGCACAAGTAAGGGCTAAAATGAAATTAAATATTCTTCAGTAAGTATTTTTACATATTTTTATAAAAATAATGTGATTTATAAGACACTTTACAACTCGCATATTTTTTTAAAAATTTATTGTAGGATAGTGGCACCAGTGAAAGAACATTTAAGGAAATGTATACCTACTTTCGATATTTTTTATTTTTAATTGATATTCTTGAATTTCGTTTTAAACATATGCAATGAATAGCAAAATTTCTAAAGAATTTGAAGTCTGTGATACAAATTTTATAAATGTAACATAATATATCAAATTTTAATCAAATATTGAAAAATGTCCATTTTATCAGTAAAATAACGTTGACCAGTAAAAGAACAGTTATTTAATTGCACCTGAAACTTTTAACCTTTTTTCTGTTTATCCTTTGTTCATTTGTCACGTTCATAATTCACCAAAAAATTAAAAAATTATTTTCATAAATAACTTTTGCATACTGAATCTATTATTTTTTATCATAAACTATATTTTGAAAAAATAAGGCACTAAAAAATAAAAACTAAAAAATCATAACTGCTAAAAGTTATAATTTGTGAAATATCGTGATAAATAATCAATTTGTTCTTTCACTGATGCAATTACCCTAAAACTTTGATAGAAAAAGAGTTGGATTCTGGAAAAAATTTACCTTATTTTCCTTCGAAATCATAAAACTTAAAAGCATAGTAAATATTAACTACATTATTTTTATCCTGTTAAGTTTTGATATTCTCTAAATAAAAGTACCAACCAAACATTCTGAATCATCAAAAAAGTTCGAGTTTAAAAATTCAGCCAGTCAGTCACGTTCAAAAATCAAATTCATTTATTCAGTTTTAAACCGTTCAGTTCATTATTCAATTCAGTACGTGTATTCATCTTTACTTTAAAAAATATTATTTCACGTTCCAGAAATAATTCAAAAGATTTCGACTATTGAATAAAAAGTGAGTTAAAAATTGATTAAAGGGTTATTCAATTCATTTTTTATTATCAAACCAAAGTTTGAATAATATATATACTTTTACACCATAGGGGTAGTTGTTATATTCAAAATTTCTTTCTATTTTCCGATTCCAAAGAATTATATCGAAGATATTTATTTCTTTAATTTTTATTAATCCTTAATTTGTAACCTATGAATCTAAAGGTGGTTAATGCTTCATATTGCTGTTGCTAACACTCCTTTATTCCCTTTAAATTCAATAATTCAAAATAATAAAATCATAACTAAAATTCAGTTCGAAAGTATTCCCAAACTATTGGACTAGAGTCCAGGTTTGAAATAATAAATTATTTATTAAATAGTTATCTTTTTTGGTAATTTGTTGCCAAAAGACAAGCTATGCAGTGAAAAGTATGGTTACAATTCGTTTATAAATAAATAATAAGCTTATATGAATAATGTATACTAGTTATTTGTATACATGAAATTTTGGAATAATTTCCGAAAATGGTGGATTTTTATCCATTAGTATGAATGAAAAACGAATGTAGGTCTGCTGTAGGCCGTACAATGTAGACTGTAGATAGACTTTTAACAGGCCATAAAGTCTACCTGGAATCTACATTGACATTCTTATATCAAATTGATATAGGTTAAAATTAGTTACTATTTAGAGTGAATTGTGTATTAAGACATTAATTTAGGATTTAGTTTATTAATTTTAAACTTTTATTAGTATAATAAGTTTAAAAAATTATTATTAGGACACTAAGTGCCAATAAGTTACATTAGTTTGTTGGATAATTCAATCCAAAGCTTTTAGAGTTGTTGAGTTTCTCGATTTCTCAACAAAAGAGAAAAAAAGTGCGGATATCGTTTGTACAGTGCACATACGATATGATTCGGAATGGGGTTTGGTGGCTAAATTTATGGAAGGGCCAATTTACTCGAAAGAAGATTCAATGCTCATACGGGAGATTGTGAGGAAGAAGATGCCTGCGCCAAAAAAGCGTGTAACAAATTATTATAAAATAACATGAGTAATAGGGAATGTACACGTGCGATCTAATAGTGAGTCACCACAAGTGTTCCAGTAACAAAGGGGTTTCTAAAATGCATGGAAAAGTGAACAATTCGTAAAATACATGAAAAAGTGAACGATTCGTGAAATACATGTAAAAGTGAACCATTTCTGGAATATACGGGGAAATTTGGGTATAAGAAGGACCAGACTATCAAACGATCTTCAGTCTAAAAATTTCATCTATTACAAGTGGTTCTTCACGACACAGTGCTCCAAAAACCCAGTTAAAGTAGTTGTTTTTTTAGACCATAATTTAGGAAATTTTATTCATAACCCTATTCCTATTAACGTTGTCAGTATTAAAACATTTTACGTTCCAATTAGTGAAAATGAAATAGACAAATGTAAAATAGCAAATAAAATGTTTGTATGCGCTAGAAATCATCCTACCTATTTACTATCAGAAGTAGAGACATGTGAAAACCAGATTATAAAATCAAAATCTAATATTATTGACATCAAGACGTGTGAATTGAATTTTCTAAAAATTGACAAATATGTCTATATTCAATGAAAAGGTAACCAAGGATATCTCTTTATACCAGAAATACCTATTACTTTAGATACTTTTTGTAATTCTCAGAATAAAGAAATTACTATTAGTGTACCAACGTTAATTACTACAAAAGAAAATTGTGTACTAATGTAACGTCCTGTAATAATGACGTCATATTTTAAATATTCGAAATTTCTGTATTTTATACAAAAACATATTTTGAAGAAAACTAGAGTTCTCGAACAATTATCAACTATAACTTAGAGTTCTCTTCAAGTTCAAGTTCAAAATTCTAATTTAAGTTCAAAATTCTAATTCAAGTTTTATTTCAAATTTTAATTTAAAAATTATAAAAAGAATAACAAGTCAACCTCTACAACTTCATCTCTGCTTCCAGTTCCAGTTTCAACTGAAATTCATCTTTAAAGTGTTATTAAAAAGTGAGTAAGAAATTAATTTTGCTGTGTTCTTTCTTTTCCTACTTTCTTTAAAAATATTTTATTTTACAAAATTCCATACGTCTTATGTGAATGTATGGAATAGTTTCTATTAAAATTTTTATTTTACAAAATTCCATACGTCTTATGTGAATGTATGGAATCGTTTCTATTAAAATTCTTGTCGTTTCTTCATTAATTAAATCAAATAAGAGAAATAATTATTGAAAGTATTCCCAAGCTATTGGACGCAAGTCTAGGCTTAAAATAAATAAAATATAATTAAATTTAATTAAAATTTAATATTTAATTAAATTTAATAAAAGTATCATTGCGAACCATAATTTTGGGACGTAACACTAAATTATGAAGATTCCATAATAGAATTAAAAAAAGTAATTTCCTAGTTAAATATAAAAATTATCATAAAAATATAACAATTCCTTATTCTGAGAAAGAACTTAATTTAATTCAAGAAAACTTAATCCCTCTGCAAAAACAAATTAATGCCGAACAATTGACATCATTAGTAAAATCATTAAACGAAATAGAAATTTCTATTAGCAATATTCTCTCTCAAAACATTAGTAGGTTCATTGACTTATCCTCATCCTAAATTAGGTTCTTCATGAAAACTAACTTAAAACGAGGAACGTTAGGTAAGTTTAAAAAGGTTTTTGTTTTGACGCAACAATTCTTAAACTTAAAGAAATGTTTATTCTAATAAATAATATCAAGATGATCAACAATTAACAACTCTCATTATTTGAAAGTTCCTGCCAAATATTCCACCTTTCAGGTGTCTACTTTTGTAGTTAAGAAGTATCGAAAACGCCATCTTTACACTTTTCACATAATCTAAAAAGTGGGGTATGTGACACCAACAGTTTTTCAGTGTAGACTATATATTTAAATTCCGCCTTTGTTAGTTTCTTTTCTTTCTCGAAATTTATTCAAACACATTTTTAAGACAATTTAACTTATCGAATTAAGATGATAAGATTCCCGCGAACTATTAGACTATCGTCTAGATTCATGTTAATAATTCAATTCTCATTATTTTAAGTACTTGACAGTAGATTGTACGCAGAATATGCAGATTTTATAATCTGTAAATGAAAAGCAATAAAATATTTTTAATTCAAATTTTAAGGCAGCTAATGATAGATAAAATTTACGAACTTTTACAAATGTTTTTATAGACATGACAATAGCTGATGAACCTGTCAATTGTATAGGTTTAGTGGCTCTTATCATCATCAGAACAAGATCCTTTTTTGTTCGATTAGTTAATTTTGTCCAATTCGTCAAATAAACTGCATCTGCAACATCTGTACTCTATTTTGAATTAAGTTATAACAGACTATGGTTTATTGGTAATGAAGAATATACTAATTTTTTATCACCTTCTCACTGATTCTCTGTCCATAAAAACAGTAGAGAAAAATTTGCATTATCACACTGCTTACAGATGTGACCATTATCCAATAAGTTGGATTTTGTGAACTTAATCTCGATAATTGATAAATTGTAGCACAAAGACTTATCATAGACGTAAAAAATTGTACAAATATCACCAGACCAAATATTTCGTTTAACTTTTCTCCTAATCTGTTAAGAAATAATAATTTTGCGGTCTTTTAACAAAACTTTCATATATGGTTTTTGAAAAAGGTTTATCTTACGAATACATGTAGATGTGATGATTTACACATTTCGATATAAGTCTTGATTCTCTCTTAGCAATACTCCATTCAGACTCATTTGTTTTTCGTAACTGAGGTAATAGTTGCAATCGATGGATAATTATTTCTAATTGTGCGCATATTTGTAGCATAAAAGTTAAAGTTAGACCTTCAACAGATGCAGATGTGTTGGCTGCCATAATTAAACCTACTATTTGATGTAAATATGTCATGAAAAAAATCCATTTTGAATTAAGACTGAATGGATACCATGCTTGTAAAGGAAGAACAATATTATTTTTCTTCATCACTGGGCCTATTATTATAGATAATGCTGTTACGTTGACCAAAAATAAGAAAATAATTGTGTTTGACCTAAAATATAATGAGAAATTAATAATCAATTGGGAGGTGAAGTGAAATTCCTAGACAACCTTCTTCTAAACATCCCTTAGGAAAAAATATGATAGTTTATTTTTAATAGGATCTGTCATTCTTTTAAAATAATCTTCTGACCCCCTAACTTAAATAAATTAAATTTAGGTGCACGTTTTTAAATGAAGGACATTGTGTAGATTTTTATTTCCTGATAAAAATCATAGTAGTATCAAATTTGATTCAAGTCGAAAGAATTAAATTAATTAATTTCCTTAATATCCCGACCTATTAATCAACAGATATCAGAAGAAGCATTAAAAAGTAGAGTCATGAGCAATCCTTTTACAACCCTATGACGTCAACTCACGGTATGTCTTCGGTATTTCTTAGGAATTTCTTATTTAAAACGAGGAACTAAAATGTTAAGAAGGTATGTTACATTTGAGGTAACAGTATCAAGAACTTTATTCGATACGTTAAACGAAAACCTAAATCCACAGTTAATAATTTAACAGCATTATCGACGCTACAAATTATGATACATACGGGATTGTTCATCCACAAATTTTTACAACTCCTAACCCTTATATTATCAAAACGTATCAAAAATCAAGTTTCTCAATGAATGTTGCATTCAAGTGATTTGTTTTTAAATATTTAATACCTGCAAATTTGAGAACACTTCTGTAAAATCCCAGATTCATAATGATCTTCAGGCTCACAGAAATTATTCAAAAGTTTCTTTCTCGACTCAACGACAGTTTTTCGTTTCGCCATAATGCAGATTTGCTTGATAAAAGTAGCGACAATGCAAAGAAAGTAAAATAAATTTTCCGTTATAGTTTCAATTGGTTGTGATACTTTAACGAAATGCATGAGTAGACTTAATATGAACGTAAAGTAGAGTGTAATCATAAACACAGAGAAAAAATGATACAACCACATTTGCCATTTTAATTTCCAATCGAGTGGCTTCCACATTCCAAATAAATTAAGTAAACCAAATGATATTTGACCCATGTAGATGTTTAACTTATTTTCCACTTTAATATCCTCCATTTCCCTTTAGCTGTAATTTGAAAAATTCTGGAATCTGAAAAACATTTATTTTCCCCGCACAATAAAATTTTAACAGCTACCGGTTTTTAAAAATTATTTTGATATCTAATTTACTTGACGAGTAGAAAAAGTTAATTTGTCGGTTTTTAATAATTGTTTCCTGAGATTTGTAGTTTTCTAATTTTGAATAGTTTGTCCTTTGTTTGCAATTCCAAATGGAAAAAATATTTCTCATTTACCTCATGAAAGTTTTGTTAAGACTAAACCACATTTTAATTCCTTTGACCGATGGGAAATCCTGTCAATATTTCGATTATTTCTTGAGAAAAGGGTGAAACAAGTTACGGCATTCTCTAGCGCTAATAAAAAATACATAACTACACGAGAAGAATTCTTGTGACATTAAAAAATTGCTGTATAATTATGCTTCGACCTGTGCATAATAAAAAATGACTTGAAATATTTTTTTGCAACTGGAGACTTTTATCTGTAATTAGATTTCGATTTGTGCATAATAAAAAAAGTGTGTACTAAAAGAAGAAAAAAGGTAAAGAAAATAAAATTCCTTTTCAAGTTTGTTATCGAATGCTTTGGAAAGTCAGGTAATTAAATACACTATTAGATACAATATCAAAAACTTAAAATTACTTTATTCAGTCGTAAAAAGAGAAGACTTATGCCATTATTAACTTTATACAAATCTTATTGTTTTAAAAGTACGGAACACAAAAAAATTATACCTTTGAGAATAAAAAAATAATTTGAAAAATCAGAAATACAAAATACAATTTGTATGCAAGGGGAAACTCATATTATGGATCAATTTATATAAAACTTTAATGTATGTACATATAAATAAAATATATCTACAATAGAATTGAAAAAAGATTCACAAAGTAGATTTTTCTATTTTTGTGAATTCGGTAAACTTTCCTTACTTCTCGTTCGATTCGTACGAAAGGCTTGGTCGAAATTTTGCAGATCCTTCAAAGAGAGGCAATTGAATATCATGTCATTGACAAAATAAGGCAACTGTCGTTTTGTGATTTGTTTTAAAAGAACAGTGTTACTTTCAATTAGATTCTTCCTCACTTTACCCTTCTTGATGCGATCCTTCAATAAATCACCATATATGGGAATATCCCAATATTTCCTTGCTATCAGAGCTTCCATTAGATCCTCATTTCTCAGAAATAAAATCAACTTCTCAACCTGAACGTTCAGTAAATCGAAGTAGGAAATTGAACTGTTTGTGCAAATCATGTCTCTCTTTAAAAGATCAATTTGTTCCTCGCACTGTTGATAAAATTCGTCAACTGCCGATTGTCCCTTGATCATATTGAAATTTACATTCTTCTCGCCCATGTGTACACTTAATGCTGTATAAGCGCACAAACATTCAAGTGTCTTGAATGCTGTATTTTTTCGTGTAATTTTACAACCACGAAATTTAATTAGAATTCGATCCAAAGGAGTGAGGTCGTTTTTGGTACGAATATTGACGTTTGCACCTAGTTTTAGTAAATATTTGACGATTTTAAGATTGTAAAAACCGGCTGCAATGTGAAGGGCTGTTACACCGTTGAGATCACCAGCATCAATGTCGGCGCCGTATTCAACTAATAGTTCGATAATGTCTATTGAAATTCCCTTCGCTGATGATTTTGAACCGTAGATCAGAGGTGTTTCTTCGCGGAAATCTTTAACATTCGGATCGAGACCTTGATCAAGGAAGAGTTTCATTATTCGGGAATTATTGATACCGACAACGTAATGTAGTGCACTGCGTCTTTGATGAAATTTCATTTTGAAACTTGCGCCCTCCTGGAGGAGAACTTCGACCATTTCCTCAAATTTATTGTCACAGGCTCTTTGAAGGGGGGTTTTTTTCTCGCCATTTATGGCCTCGATTTGAGCACCATTTTGAACGAGAAATCTCGCTATTTTTGCGTTTTTTACACGATGTACTTTATTGACGGCGGGGAAATAAAATGTTTCACAAGCTACATGTAAAGGGGGTCCGTATGGCGATGAGGCATTTACGTTTGCACCGTTTTTCACCAGAGTCTCGACAATATCGAAAAAACCTTTCGAAATTGCCAAATGAAGTGGAGTGAAACCTCCGATTCGTTCGGTTAAATTCTGATGCGCTTGATCGAGTTGAATCTGTAAATTGGGATCTGCTTTGTACCTGATTAGTGACTCTATCATATCGTTCATTTCATGCAAAGTTGCAACGTGCAACAACGTCAAACCTTTAGCGTTAAAAGCGTTGAGATTCGCTTCACTGTTTTCTAAAATCTCGTTGAAACTCTCCTTATCACCATTCAATGCTGAAAAATGTAAAAGTGGCGAATAGTTTGAATGTGAAACGTTCAAATGTTTTCCTTGATCTAGAAAATATTTTATAAGATATCGACATCTTATGATATTTTTTGCATTCGAGCAATTAAGAAGTTGATCTTCCTCGGGGATGAATGCTTCAACAGCCTCCGGAATTCCTGAAAGTAAAGCCTCTTGCAGGGGACTCGTTCCCTCTCTACCGCAAATATTCATGTCCGCACCATTTGCCAATAATAACTTGGTTGTTTCAAAAGCGTATTTACTTTTCTTCGCGCGAAAAATACCGGCCTTTAATTCTTTATGGAGTTGAGTTTCTCCTCTTCTGTCTTGAAGATTGATGTCTTCGCTAAAGTCCAGAAGGGGTATCCTCTGTTGAGTGTAACTGTCATCAACATGGGACTGAATTGACTTCTTATCGTCCATTTTCTAAAAAAAGAAAATGAAGAAACAGTTAGAAGAAACAGTTCCCTTTCATTTAAAGTTCATCGCCAAACGTCATGTTAGCTAGTCTATAACTGTGTCTATGCTGCAGCAGACAATTACAAAGTACTCCTAAATCTGTACACAAATCTGAGAAGTATGTGTTGCCAATAAATTTAAAGATTGAGTCTAAAGGAAATTGTTAGTGCTAACAAACCAGTAGGGAAAAGAAAGTCTGAAGAAATTGACGAAATTAATGATAAATAAAAGAGTTTGGTTATTAAAATTTTATTATTATATAACGATTGTCACGTGCCACGTGCATGACCATTAAATAACCTTAGACCACACCTGTTACCAAGCAAACTAGCAAGGAACCACGGATGATGAAATTTATGAAAATTTCCAAAATTAGGTAAACGATTAAATTAAGTGTAAAAAGAAGTATTCTTTTTTCTATTATTGATTACAACCCTTTACGAATTAGAAATAATAATCAAGTCAGTATCTAATCTAAATCAAAGTGATCGATATCATCTCTGTACCAGTAGTCAGTGCGAATCTATACTCGTAACCTACGAAAATCACAGTCTAAGTAATAACCATCTTGTGTGTGAACGAACCATTGTCAATCTCCAAGGCAGTAAAATTGGAAAGGCGGTGCATCTGAGCTGACTGTGGACACACGAGCGGAGAACGGGTTACCAGCTTCGAATAGAAGCAATAAAGGTAATTAACTAAATCTTTTCATCATATCTTTTCATTACAATTTCTATATCTATTAAACGCCTATTTGTTAAAGGTGTTTATTGGAAAAGGAACTGGTCTTATCTCGGCAACATACAAATAACGAACTTCAAGAAATCATTATATACAATTTTATAATAAATTTCATTTAATTAACTATTAGACTTTTCATTGATTCTTTTTCCTCATTCCCAAATAAGATTTTTTCGGAATTTCTTATTTAAAACGAGGACTACAAATGTTAAGAGGTGAGTTACTTTTCACGTTACAACGTATTAGTTATAATAAATAGATAATTATTGAAATCATTAATTTTATTGTTGTTAACTTAATGATTATGAATGTTAAAACAAAGTATTAACAATTAATATTTGAATATTGTATTAATTAACAAATTGATTACATAATTATTAAATAACGTAAATTTCATCGAATTGTTTGTATTAACTAAATAAATAACAGTTACGAATTTAATCATATTCAGTGTTTAAAATCCACTCAAATTGACCCTAATATTCCTGAACCTCCCGATACAGAAATGTCAAATCCTTCAAATTTAGAGGCAATTCTTTGTAGTCTTAAAGATTCAGTCGAACAACTGTCTTCCAAAATGTCATCAATAGAAGGATTTCAAAGTACATTAAATTCTAATATAATGCTACTTAACGATGAAAATGCAAAACGTGTATCAAATTGCTACACAAATTGATACACAACTTTGTCAAGAATACTACGAATGGTTCTTTTACCACAGATATAATTAATTAATACTCAAATAAGAGCAAGGTATGAGTTCCAAACTCTACACCTAATTCCAATTCCTATCTAACGTAGAAACAAATTCCTAGCACCTATTCCTTCATATGAAATAGTTATGATTAACTCTGAAAAAAGTTTGTACATACCAAGTGACGAAAAACTTTTCGAAAAATGTAAGAAATTAGTAGACCAGTATATTTGTAAAAGAACACAAACAATGTATCTAGTTAGTGAAATAGAGAATTATGAAATTAGTATTATAAAAAATCATAATAAGAGCATTTTCGATCATATTTGTGAATTTTCAGTATTCTGAATTTCGGAATATTTTTATTTTTACGAAAATATATTATTTGTTTATTAATTGACGGAACCCTCAAGTACTGACCCCCACTACTTTGATCCAGGAATTAAAAGAATTTGAAAAACATTATAATGTCAAATACTCATTTCCATCAGTTCAGAATCATTATCAAAATTTAATTGATATTTCAGAGGTGAATGTGGCTATATTAAAATTCAAATTAATCTATTCTATTCATTTACCAGTCATCGCAGAAACCGAATATACAGCATACCAGTTAATTTCAATTCAAAAAAAATCTAATACCGTATTCCTAGCAGTCATACCCGATCACGAATACATATTTTTAGAAGAATAAGTTATACCTAAAAACTCTGTACAATTAGATTTTCAATGCAAATCCAAAATCTTTCAAACAACTATAAATCAACCTACACGAATTTTGAGCGACGAAAACTGTATTGTTAATGGGTTGAACATAGTTATTCGAATTCAACCACAACTTACTTGCAATGTTTTGAATATTTAAATATTATATATTAATATTTAAATGCAAAGCTTAGAGAAAATTGTGTAAAGATTTAAATGTCCCGATTAAATAAATGTTTAGCATCAAACTTTCCTGAAAATTTAGGATGAAACTATCCTGAACATTTAAATTAAATTTTCGCCTAATTCTATTAAAATTAAAATGTAATTTAAATTTTCAGAAAAGTTTCACGCTATATAAACATGTATTTAATAGGGACATTTAAATCTTCACACAATTTTTATTAAAATTTGCTTTAAAATATTTTAAACATTGCAAGTAAATATTTAATAAATTTTCGGAACTGTGGGAGTGTAATATGAGAAACAATGGGGTAAAAATTTTAAAACTGGACCACTCGAAACTGACTTTCTAAAATTTAAATCTTTTTTTGCATAATTTTTTGCAGAGTCAAACTAAAAATATTTCTGAAATGATTTTAGAAAAAATGTTTAATTAATCAATTCAATTTTTTAGCTACTAAATTCAAGATAAAGTTGCTACTTAATTAATAATAAAATTTGGTGGATATTTAAAAAAATGTCTCTTTGTATTGCAATAAAAATGTTAAGTAATATTTATTAAACACTTAAAGGTGTTGGATTTGTTTTGAGTTTATTGTATCAGAAAATACTTTATTAATTTGACTATGAAAATTAATTGTCGCCTGACGGCGAAATTTATTTATTTAAATTTTTAATTTTGAGTTGTTAAAAGCGTCAAATTTTGCTTGGCATTAAGCAGAAAGTTTAATTTATTTTAAATTCATACGTTACAATGCAAAATAAATTGTTATTTTATAAATGAATTTTAAAACTGAGGGAATTACGCGAATTTTTAATAAAAATAATATTATTAAACATGGGTCGAATGAAATTGAGGTTAAATGAATTTAAAAGGGCGAGGATTGAAAGACTTTTAAATTAAATAAGTTTCAAAAGTTAAATTTAATTAAAAAAATTTTTAAATTATAAAAATTCACAAAAAATATGTAAAAAACAATTTTATATTTAAATATAAAAAATTTTATTTCATTTGAAAAATTTCTAATTTTTATATATTTAAAATTTGTATAAATAACAATTTAATAAGAACTCTGGCTCGTAATATTGTTATTCAATAAGCAAAAATTGTTTAAATAAAATTTTTTTTAATAAGGTCAAAATAATAATCTACATTTAGAAAATTACTTTTAGAAATTTACATTTAGAAATCCGTCTTTCAGAAATTAATCAATTCGGAATGCCACCTGTTGGGAAAATTGTATTCAGAAAAGCGACCGGGAATCATTAAAAAAAAGAGTTCTGACAGTATGGAGTATGAATTAAAAAGCATAGATAAAAAGAGTACTACAAGAAAGTTTTCAAGTTTTAACATTCTAATTTATTGTCTCTCGTAAAGCGTAAAAAACACGTGAATAATGAAATCTGCTTAATATACATAAAATAATTAGACAAAAATGTTAATTATAGAATATTTTCGAGCATTTTAAACAGTAAAACATGTTTAACACAGTTTTTATTTTAAATTATCTGGAACGTTTTTTGTTTACAGATTCGTCAATTTTTTGTCGTCTGCTATAGCATAGCCTTCAGAATTATTCTATACTTCAAATACATAAATATAAAAATGAATAAAATCATTTCTTTTTAAATTTAGATTCATTTAGCTTCAAATTTTTTTTAAAAATTTTATTCATTTTTCATATAAATGAATATTGTAAATATGTATATTAAAAAAATAAGTGAAAATATTTTTAAAGTATATTTGCTATTTGTAAAATTTTACGACAAGCAAACTTACCTGAAAGTGATAAATTAAAGAAGATAGTAAAATGATTTTGTCAATAAATATTGGAAATCCAAGGTAATGTAGAATAACTTTGAGAACTTTACATTTTATATTTATTTTTATTTATGTTTGTAGGTATATACTATACTATAGGAATAAAGTGGCGTACAGAATGTAAATAAAGGGGACACAGTCCGCCAGATGGATTCTGTGACGTCACGCCTAGTGTCGTCTCTGGTAACTTTGGGAATTTAGAGAAATTCAAAAGTCACTAAAACTTACTAGCACAGGAAATTTTGTTTTATGACTGTTGCAGTTGTTAGAAAGCACCACAAAGAAAACGCGAATGCTTTGTTTGCAAAAGTCGCGATTGTAATATGTTAAATAATATGTTCTACTTTTTCCTTTTAAACTTTCTTATATAGATGGTCCCTTTTAAGTCCCTTTCTCTAATTTCTTAACTCTTTCCTAAACTCACATTCTAATATTACCTTTCATATCAAAATGATACCTTTTTTTAAAGGTATATAAACAGGCAATATAGAAAATAAAAATCAGTCGTTGTAAAACATTTATTACGGCAAAGACCTCGTCTCCAAATAAAGATATTTTTACGAACAGATCTGTTACGTCATCGTAACTCATTTTTACTAATTTTAGTAATATGTTAGTATGTAAAATCATTTTTAGTAATATGGTAATAATTGTTAACAACAATAACAATAAAATGTAATTTAGTCAGTCTTCAAGTAATCATCTACAATTACTCAAAAGGTCTTCGAACACTTGTGGAAGCCCAAATATTTAATATCCGGAAATCTTCAAATAAGGAACATTACGAGTAAGGTTTATATTTTTTAATTCTAGTAACTTTCTTATCATCAAACTAAAAATAACTCATTGATTTGTTCTGAAATAAAAATTTCTCTCTCACCAAACATAGTAGGCTCATTGACTTATCCTCATCTCAAATTAGGTTCTTAGTTGAAACTAATTTAAAACGAGGAACATAGGGTAAGTTTAGAAGGATTTCTGTTTTGACGTAACAGTAGTAAATAAAAATCAATTATAATGAGTTTAACATCTATTTAATTTTATAATTCAACTGGAAAATTTTTCTTCCAGAAATCTAAACGATTTGATGCAAATTCCTTTTCCAAAGTTACTGTCGGATCCATATTATCACTTTTATTTCCAATCTGAAGAAATGATTCACTGTTTTTATAATTCTGCCATAAATGTGGATTTTTCAAGGCATTACTGAATGGTTTTCTATAAATACAAAAAATAATAATATTATAAATAATATCTAACTTTTCTATTGTTGAAATTCTAAAACGAAACAATGTTTACTAGAAAATTATTATATACCCATCTATGGCAAATGATGTCCATAAATCTATCATGACCGTTACGATATGTTCGTCTGATTGCGTCATATTATGTAAGGGTCCATAATTAAATAAATAAAGTACATCATTGCTGTGTCCAACACCAATATTCTCTTTTGTATTGAAGATCAAGTAAATTCTGTTCATTGTACCACGATATCCAAATTTAAAACGATAAAAAGGACTTTCTGCGGTTTTTGCTATTTTGTTTATTAAAATTTCATCTGGGTAGAGAAACATACTGTCACTGACGAATTTTGTTAAATTTTTTAAATACTGAAAAGGATAAAAAATGTTTGAAGTTTGCATAAGTAGGGGTTGGACGGAGGGTTATTAATTTAAAACATGTTTTAGTCATTGTACCTTAACATCTGTATCATTTTTCTTTACAAATCCACTGAAATAGTAATCGTTGATAATGTTTTTAAATTGATCTTCTTTATTAGCAGTTCCATATTGCTTGAATGACAAATTAAGACTGTTGTTGAAAACTTTGTTTATTGGTAAAGACGACTTATTTACAAAATACTCTGTTGGAAATTATGTTATTGAAAATTCAAGACTAATATTTTATTTACAGAAAGTTGGGTTAGTCAATTCGTTTACTCAACATTTAGTCAATAAATAGAAAGAGGCTGTTATAAAAACTTGCCTGAAGTTACGTAAAGTCCTTCATCAGCTACATTACCACTGATGAACGGATAATCCTTTAGTTTGTTATCTCGCAGCAAATTTTCAGGACTATCTGTTAAAAACGCATCCTTTGAAGCTATTTCATTCGTAGGTATCCAGGTAAGTTCTGGTTTCCTCAAATCATAAAAATTGCTGGCATTCAACAATGTCTTGAAATTTACATTTTTTAGGCAATTTACAGTAAGCGTAGAATTACTAACTGGACAGTCTAGAACTTTGGCTACTTCATCGACATCTGATTTGAAATCAGTTTTGTCACGATAAGCACAGGAGCAAAGAGCATTTCCACTTTGCAGTATATACTGATGAAATAAACCTTTTGAATATTAGAATCGAAAAATTACAAATTTTCTAAATTGGGAGATATTGAAGAGAATTTACTAAAAATCGGATCTTACCATTTGAAGAATCCGAAAGTGTATGAAAACTAACCGACATCCCACCGGCACTTTCGCCAAATATTGTCACCTTACTTGGATCCCCTCCAAATGAATGGATGTTGGATTGAACCCACTTTAATGCTAGAACCTGATCTTTTAGGCCAAAGTTTCCGGGAGACACTAAATCAGCAGTAGAAAGAAATCCAAGAACTCCTAATCGATAGTTTATCGTAACAAGAACTATGTCTTTATCTAAAAAAAAATTTGGTCCATATTCATCAAATGAATTACTTCCAACTATAAATGCTCCTCCATGAATCCACACCATGACTGTAAAACTAATACTTCTAGATTCGTTGGTCTGCAAACATCAGCATAAGACTGCTTTTTAGTATTTTTGATCAGAGTCTCGAAATGAGTTTGAGAAATCAAATAAGAAACATCTAGAATCTAGGTCTTACATTTGAGGGATCAAAATTTGTCCTTGGCGTAAAGACATTCAAGTATAAACAATCTTCTTGACCCAACACTTTACTATTATCCACCTGAGGACATTGGATTTTTAATTTTTCACTATCAGCATGATAAACACCTGTCCATTTCTTTTTTGGTACTGGACTGCTAAATCTAAAAATTTAATATTACAACACTATCGAAAAATTAATCTCTACAAGTTCGTGCACTTTCTAATTACTTGGATATTTTTGTTAATAAAAATACAAAAACCTTAAGTCTCCAATTGGTGGTTCACCATAGGGGATTCCAATAAAAGCAGAAAAATCTCTATTGCTTTTGGATTTCAATTTAACACCTTGAACAATTCCTTGTGATATATTTACTTGAGGTTTACAGCTCGAACATTGCACAACATGATTTATAATAGAAAATAAAATAAACAATTTTTGCGAGTTCATACTACTTGATCTTTTGATTCTTTGATTTTGTAAATTTACTCTTTTGTGCAGAAAGAACAGTTGCTCAATAGAGGACAAAAAATTATTTTCACCAAATTACTGAAGCGGTTTTGAAAGAATATTTATTATTAAACATGTGCACATCGTGCACAGTTGAAAGCTGTTTCTTATCGGGAATGATAATTACTTTCACAATGATAGAGTATAAATTTTCTACATGTATTTTTATTATTATTATTCCATTCACTACATAACATTGTTTCCTTTTATTATTACGGTTTTATAACTAATTGCTATTCGTCATGACAAAGGATTCATTGTAACTATATACCATCCTATGAAATTATACTATTCATTTCATGAGAATTTCTACGTCCACACCGATTTTATAACAATTCAAAATCATAAGTAATTGTTATTCCTCAAAAGTAAGATTATTAATTGTAAATATACTCATTGTATTATTGTTAATTCTTTTCTTTCTTGGTTGGTTTTGAAATAAAATATTGTCTCACAACATTTAGTAGGCTCATTGACTTATCCTCATCTCAAATTAGATTCATTCCTGAAACTAATTTCAGATAAAATAATCTCTTTCTTATTTTTTCCCAATTCCGAAGAATTGTTGTTGAAGACAATTGTTTCTTTTAATTTTTATCAATTCTTTATTTGTAACGTATGTGACCAAAGATAATCTATTTTTATGATTGAATGTTCATGGATATGCATTACTAGACAAATTTTCTTTGAACACATTTTCATTCTTTTGATAATTCAATTTTTTTTCCACTGACTCAATTTCCAATAATTAAGTCATTTTCGGGAAAGTTGTCATAACAATTTTCTTAATAGCAGTCTTAAAAATTTTTATCCCGGATTTTAAGGTAACCCACTTTTAAAACCTCTTTTTCAGTCATAGGTAAAACATTGAAAATTATATACCTATTTTATCAAAAAAAAAGTTTGAAAATTTTCAATTTATTTAATGTCTAAAAAGGTTTTCTTGACTTGAATTCTTAAAAACAGAACTTAAGATTAAAATTATACGTTCACGTTACTAAGTAAACAAAGAAATAAAGTGTATTGAAATTCGTCATAAAATTAAATTAAATTTGTCAAGTAAAATTTTTAATTAGTTTAAATTTTAACACATCGAAATAAATTAGCATTTAATTTTTAAAGGAAAAAGGTATTAGAAATTGTAATTTTACTGGCAATTTTCACTTTATAACTTTTAGTACATACTGTTGTAAACTGTTAGGTTTGATTTTTAATTAAATTAGAAAATATCATCGTAGTCAACTTTGGTATCTTAAAAGTCGTAATTAGCTTCGGCACACTTCTTAATCCGCCATTCTGATTACTTATTAAGTTATTCTGTGAATTAGAACATTTTTTTCTAATTTCACTTTAGAATAAACTTTTCAGATCTCACAGCTAGATATTAAGTTATTCCTAGTGTCCTGGTGCACTGTAGCCTCCACTGGCGACTGTCTTATTTAAAACTGTATTAAGATATGCACTTTTTAAGTTAAAAGCCAACTACAAATATATTTTTCCTTTTTACTATCCATATTAATTTATAAAAATTGGTTTTGAAGCATAAAAATGCCAATAAAATTACAATTTAATTCAGAATGTTTAAACAATAATTTTTACATTAAATATACTGATTCTGATTTGAAGGGTAAAAATAGCTTGAAAATGAATGTTACTTTTACTATATTAAGTTATTTAAATTATAATTTATTTTCTTTAAATTCTGTTCTTGATAAATTTAAAATTGTATGTATTAATTTTACAGATAAGTATACGACAAGGAATATTAATACAGCAATAAATAATTTTACTAAAATGAAAAAGAATATGTTTAGTTTATCTGCGGATAAAAACTCTTTCAGGTTTATTACGTCACCCATACAGTTGCATAAACTTGTATATTTATTTTAAAAATATTTTATATTTATCTCTCACTCTTTTAATTTTTTTTTATTAAATTTTTTAAGTAGATGGGTATTTATTTCCTGTTTTTAATATCTTTAGTGCGCAAAATAGAACTTTTTTCAAAAATCTATTAATTATAGTTAGCTGCTAAAAAGCAATCGTTATAAATCAACTTTCTCAGTAGGATTTTTGGTCAGTGATTAATGTGTTCAAAGAAATGACTCAGACTGATTAATGCATGTAGTTCATGTGTATCAAAAAACATTATTTGAAGTTCATTGGAAAAAAACAAGAGCGGATTTTTTTCTGATTTTAAAGAAGAGTGAATTGTACAATTAGCATTTAATTGTGCTTTTCGATTTGATCCGTTATTTTTAAATCTTTTCCAAAAATTTATTAAACACATCAGTTCCATTAGAACCGAATTCATTTTCTCTGCAGACATGTTCATGTTATGCACGTTAATAACTATAACAAATCCAAGAAAGAAAAGTAATATTTTAAATAATGTAGAAGGAATAACTGTCAAGTGACCCACTACTTACTAAATTAGAATATTTAAGCGCCACGCAACCTGAAAGAAGCAATGGCTTTAGCTTTAAATTCTGAAAGCACAATCCGGGAAAGAGAGCTTTGTAGAAAAATGGCTCAAGTCTCCTTTGATAAACAAGTTGATTTAAGTAAATCAAGTTTTCATCGACCCGAAAATAAAAATTATCACTCTTCTGCGCGTGATAAAATACAGAATCAAGAAAGGGAAAGATCGAAACAATCACATTAATTCAGAGAAAGTAGGAATTGTTTCACCTCAGTTGGTGTTACCTCAAAATTTCCTAAGTAACTTACAAGTTATTAGCAATACATAAAAAAAAGCAATTCCATTTTCTCTGGTACCTCAGAATTATACGATGTATATATAACTAAGTCATGCCTTTAAATTTATACCTGTACCTATAGCTAGTTGGACGAAATATTATATTTACGAAAATGTTGCCACGAAACCAATTGCAATCAATATTGAGCAATCAGATTATACTCTAATAGACTTAGAAAAATGTATTATCATTAATGCACTTAGGATTTGCGAAATAACGAATCCAATTCATTGATTAGCTATAGAAAGTAGCTGCTATTCATACTTAATAAGGGATAAAACGGACACAGAATGTAAAAAGAAATACTTTTCCTTATTAGATACATTTATACTATCCCTTGCGAATGGTTACACTTGGTATATCTTACCTCGGAATACGGAAACCATCTCGGTATTCTGTCCAAATTCTCCTGATAGAACTGTTGTCATAACTAGCCCTTCTATTTTTGAGTTATCACCACATTGTCGAGGATCATCCCAAACAAATATATATCTACCACGAAGTCACACAAGTTTAACAGGTATAGCAGAGTATAAAATTAACATTATAACATTTACACATCTTGAAACTACACTTCTTCAAAATGAATTACTAACATTACCCACATTTTCAAGCAGACATATCGATTTCGAAGACCTTAAAGAATCATTAAAAACATTAGATGAAATGGCATCTGATTTAGATACACTTATCTCTTCACAATCAAAGCATGCTTGGATTCAAACAGGTTATACGACACTTCAATATATTGGATTAATCAGTATAATAATCATCATAATACTTGGATTATTTAAATGTGGCTTGTAACGGTGACCCAATAATTCTTCTAAAACACATGTGTTTCGTCAGCCAAATCTGCGATACTCGACCTCGATGAGTCTTAACATTAGTTTAGCCTACATTGATAAGATTATTATGTTGAAACCCTAACCCTATATAATGTGCCCTAAAATAAGTAGAATTCAGTATTTCTCCGAATGTCAAAATTAACACTAACCAACATTTGTAAAATTAAATAAAGTCTATTTAAAATTATACAAAAATATTTATTTCACGTTTTTACCCGTGACAGGCTGCTTTTCAGCTTTTTGGAAAATATTGCAATGGATGTCATTTTCATGTTGTATCGTCTATACTAAAAAGTCAGTCTTAATCTTATCTTTAAGTACTCGATGTAACGGTTGGAAGCACTGCTGTTCTTCCAACTATATAAGAATAAAGAATTATTCTATGTATATCCTTATTGATTAATTCATTCCTTGCTAGTCCCTTAAAGTCAGCGTAAAACCCCAGTTTTTAAATAAATTAATAAAATAAAAGTTAGTGAACACTTTAAAAGTGAAACGACACGACAAACGATTACGCATTAATTGATGAATTAGGCCACAAATGATTCAAGAAGCATCAAGTTAATGGGAAATTTTTATATGAAAAGGGGAAGCATCTTTGTTTGAACAAAGAGTATTTTTTTGGAAATCAACTATCAATTATTATAAATATTAATAAAAGCTTCATAAAGTAAATAAATATACTTAATATTTATTAAAACCCGTCACAAAATTGCCGATCCTGTCAGGATGGTTTTGCCACGAATATGTTCAAAAGCAACTATCTCTGGAAAAAAAAGAACCAAAGCTTTGCAATATAATTTTTATATTGTCGATATTAAACGGTGGAGAAATTCCACTGGAAATTACCAGAGAATACGTATACTCAAGTTGAACTAAGTAGACTTGAAAAAAAAATTACTAAAATTCATTTATTTAATTGTTTAAATAATATACTATTTAGAAATTAAGTTTTAGTAAACTATGAACACAATTTTAACATTGTGAAACTAAAAAAACTGTTGAAATTAAAAACAAATTTAGAGGGGACAAGACTATAAAAATTTGAACTTTAAAAAAAAACTGACACATTTCAACTTTGAATTTTTAAGTTCACTACTCTCATTTTTTCCTATTTTGAGTAAAAACAACTCTTAATTTCTTCTTTACAAGTTTTCAAAGTTTGCCACAAGTTTCAAACAAGTTTTCAAAGTTTTTAAACAAGTTTTCAAAGTTTTCAAAGTTTGACACAAGTTTCAAACAAGTTTTCAAAGTTTTCAAAATTTGACACAAGTTTTCAAAGTTTTTAAACAAGTTTTCAAAGTTTTCAAACAAGTTTTCAAAGTTTTAACAAGTTTATTATTAAAAATAAAATTTTTTAATAATATTTCAAAATTATTATTTACGGAATAAAATAAATTCCAAGATTATTAAAAATAAAATTTTTAATAATATTTCAAAATTATTTACGGAATAAAATAAATTCCAAGATTATTAAAAGTAAAATTTTTAATGATATTTCAAAATTATTATTTACGGAATAAAATAAAATAAATTAAAATAAATTTTAATTTTTTAATAATATTTCAAAATTATTTACGGAATAAAATAAATTCCAAGATTATTAAAAGTAAAATTTTTTAATGATATTTCAAAACTATTATTTACGGAATAAAATAAATTCCAAGATTATTAAAAATAAATTTTTTTAATAATATATGTATAAGCATATCAAAAATATTTTTATAATTATAGATAGCAAAATAACGCTAGATGCACACCATAAATGTTTTTAGGCGAGATCTATCATCGATAGCATACCTAATTAAAATTTTTTATTGTATAAGGTCTTTGTAAGAGGTATTATACCTTTTTTTTATGTATACTGAAAAGATTTAAATAAACCTACTTTATCAAACCAAAAAAAAAAAGAAGAAGTTAAGAAACAAATTGGAGAACTTTATGAAAAAGGAATTATACGTGATTCCATGTCATCTTTTAATTCTCCATTATGGGTCGTTGCGAAAAAAGTTGACGCCTCAGGAAAACGAAAATGTCGACTCGTCATTGATTTTCGTAAACTCAATGATGAAACAGATCAAGACGCATATCCACTTCCGATTATTGAGGACATTTTGGAGTCACTTGAAAATGCTAAATTCTTCTCCGCTTTTGATCTAAGTTCCGGATTTCATCAAATCCCAATGTCCGAAGATTCAAAAAAATACACTGCTTTTTCAACACCAGAAGGACATTTCGAATTCAATAGAATGCCATTTGGTCTAAAAAAATTCACCTGCTACCTTCCATAACGCATGATGGACAATGTCCTACAAGGATGTTATTACTTGTTTAAATAAATAACGAACATGATTCAGATAAAAATATGTTTCAACATATTATAGATATGTCTGAAATAAGTACTGTCATTCATATAGTCAAACCTTAATTTACTCAATTAAAGTTCCTGTATTAGAATCCGATAATTATTATATCCAATAATTAATTCCTATTCCTCAAAAGATTGGAGATCACTTTATTATTCCAGTTCCTAGAGAACAATATATCCTAATAAATTCCATTATAAAACCTTTTATGTCCCTATATCCGAAAACGAAATAGAGAAATGTAAAAAAGTTGATAAAAATTTTATTTCTTCAAGAAATCATCCTGCATATATTCTATCGGAAGTACAAACATGCGAAACACAGATCATTAAATCAAAAACAAAATCTATTGATATTAGAACTTGTGAAATGAGCGTGTTGAAAATTGATAAATATGTTTATATTCAATTAAAGGACCAAACAAGGATATATCTTTATACCACAATCTCCGATGAATTTACAAATTTTATGTAATTCTCAGAATAGTGAAAAAACAATTAACTCCCCAACATTAATTACAACCCAAGAAAATTGCATCTTAAGCCTTGATGATTCAATAATAAAATTAAAGAAAAGTAATATAACAGTAAAATATAACAAATATTTTAAAAACA